TCCTGCTGACTTCATTATACTTACTTGACCAAAGTCAAAAAAGTAAAATTCTTTCCCAACTTCCTTTTCCCTAACATCTATTTAGGTCAGGTCAGGCTACAGGGATATATTTCATTTCTTTATTATTATTTAAAACGCCACCATCACCAGCACCTTATTCACAGGGTGCGGCAGGGCGAGGAGTCCCTGGGGCGGGGTTGGCCAGCCTCCCCATAACCTCCATTGGTGCCTCCCCAGAGCCAACCTAAAGACGTAAAACCTGTGCTTGCTATTCAAGTTCAGCTTGAGGACCAGTTCCTAGGCCCTCTTTGCCTCCAGGTTGCCTTAACTACTCCTCTTCAATACAGAAGTTCCGGAGCTATCATTGACTGTTGGGCTACCCCAGACATGGGCAACCTGAAATATTTGCATGGAGAGCGATGTGTGTTTCACCTTGGCAAGAGAGAGAGAGTAGAATGGTTTGGTTACTCATGTTTCACTTAAAATTATTTTTTAATATTTTATCTACTATTTTGATGAAAGCATAAAAGCTACATTTCATTTCTAATCATGCTGAATAACTTAAAGGGGGAAGGAGAAAGAAGGAAGGATTAAAAGAGGCTATTCTGATGAGCTAGGAAATATGTTAATATCTGTTTCTAGATTTTTTTTTAATACGAATGGCTAACAAGCATCAGGTACTTCTTGCCAGGTGTACACAAAATGCTTTCCTTACATTTACACGTTTATTCCACTCTACCATACTGTAAGGGATGGGGATTGTTAAGAAAACTGAAACTAAGAGTTTGCCCAGTGTCACCCACTTGGTAGGTAACAGAGCCAAACTTTGCAACCCGGTCTGTCTAATGCCAGAACCCGTAATGTTAACTACTTTTGAATACAGTATTTGCTCGGAAAGTATATCAGTTTCTCTCATGGGAATGCAAGAGAGGGTACTCACAAACTTTGGAAAGGGGGTGTGAAAAGATGCTGTGGCTCAAATAGATGGAAAAAGTGTGAACTTTTTTATTTCTCTACGTGTGGTTTATGGTAAAAATCATTTTTCCTTGTGTTATTTGTCTCCAAATTACTTGTCTAGCTCTGACTTGACTTCTTTCCCATAACTTATTTATAAGCATTCACCAGAAAATCTCCATATTTGTACAAGAAAGAATCTGGAAGTGGCTTGAAAAAGAATGAGCCTTTTAGAGTGGCTGGGACATTTTCAGTGGAAATCTAGGTCAGAGCAGAGAAAGCAGACCCTTGGGAATTGTTAAATACCTTCTAAAAGGGGGGCGGGGAAGGGAGGGAGAGGCTTAAAAGAGGATCTGGCGAATACAACTGGCCTTTCTTTACTATCCAGGTCTTTTCCATCCATGCTTGTTTGGGGCACCTATGTCAGAGCACCGGAGCTTTCATTTTGCTCTACATTTCTGTATTATTTAAGTTGGGTTTGAGAGTTTTGTTGCTATTGTAGGAGAATATATTCACTTTATTCCAGGAATGGAATAAAAACTGAATGTGTGGCTGAGCGGAATGAGAATATAGACTTCGTATAGAATATAGCCTATGGTGTTTGAAAATGAAAAAATATACAGATAAATTTTTTAACTCTGAACACTCACTTCTAGTCGAGCAGTATCTGTTAATAATTAAATAATTATTATTTTGTTTTTCAGTACATATTTGTCTCCTTACTCTCCAGAGATTCAACTTACAAACTACTGAAATCTGTGTGTGGACACTTAGAAGTGAGTACAACATCTCAGCCTCAATTGCTGTCTCTCTTCCGTATTTCTTATGGTTTTGTAGTTGATCTGGTTTCTTCATTTTGTAAAAATAATTTTGTTTCGATAATTTCAGAATACAAGTACTGGCAACAGTCCCAATCCATCTTCTCTTGAAAACAGTTTCCAGGCAGACCGCCCTTCATCTCTGCCTCTGGTGAGTTGCCTACATAACTATCTAAATGCAAAAGCAAGTGAGTAGGTCCCACAATCACACTTCTCCTTACACCATGACCAGGGTGCGGGAGGAACTTAGGACCACAGTATTGGAGGCAAAGTTGAAGAAACAGGGCATTTCTGTCCTGAAGATGAGGGAACCATAGGAGGTCATCCACTTTTTCAGGTAATTAAAGAGTCATCCTGCAAAAGAAAAGAAACATGATAGTGCGCTGTTTTAGCCAGTTACTGGTCCATGGAGGTATTCAGCAAATCTTGCTCTGTTTGTCTGTCAGCGTTGTTTTAGAGGGATTCACCAGTCTATTTAGGTAGGGCATGATTCATCCCACAAGTCGTCGAATGCCTTCTATGTTCAAGGCACCATGCTAGTGTACCCATAAGGACACCAGGAAAAATCAAAACTAGTTCTTGCCTTCGAAGTCTTTACAGCTTAGTAGAGAAGATGAGGGATACCCAGAAATAACTGTGAAAGAAAAAAGCTGTAATGCCCAAGAGGTGGAGATTCTTTGATTCCCTTAGACTTTGTGACTACAGAGTAAATCTCGAACGGGAAGTAACTCCCCCGATTTGTACAAGATTTATACCTGTGATGGTATCATGCAAGCCCAAGAGAGTCCGAGCCGTGTTGTTCAAATGGTTGTTCCCAAATTGATAATCGTTAAACGTTTTAACACCTTTGGTGAAGCAGTATGAGCCCAGAGTTTCAACATCTACAATTTTTTTTTTAACTTTATTTATTTATTTTTGGCTACGTTGGGTCTTCGTCGCTGCGCACAGGCCTTGTCTAGTTGCGGTGAGTGGGGGGTGGGGGGGGCTACTCTTCGTTGCGGTGCGTGGGCTCCTCACTGTGGTGGCTTCTCTTGTTGCGGAGCACGGGCTCTAGGCACGCAGGCTTCAGTAGTTGTGGCGCACGGGCTCTAGAGCGCAGGCTCAGTAGTTGTGGCGCACGGGCTTAGCTGCTCCGCGGCATGTGGGATCTTCCCGGACCAGGGCTCGAACCCGTGTCCTCCGCATTGGCAGGTGGATTCCTAACCACTGCACCACCAGGGAAGCCCTACAAATCTTTTTTTTTTTTTTTTGAGAGCTGTTAAAAAGTACAGGGATTGAAAACGTGTTCACACAAAAACTTAAACCAGAATGTTCATAGCTGCATTATACATCATAGCCAAAAAGTGGAAGCAACCCTTATAGCCAACAGCTGATAAATGGATAAATAAAATGTAATCTATCCATACAGTGAAATATTATTTGACCATAAAAATGAAGAACTACCGATACATAATACAACATGGACAAACCTTGAACACATTATGCTTAGTGGAAGAAGGCAGACACAAAAGGCCACATGTTGTATGATTCCATGTATATGAAATGTCCAGAATAGACAAATCCATATGGGCAGAAAATGCATTAGTGGTTGCCAAGGGACGGGATTGGGAGTGAATGCTAACGGGTAAAGGGCTTCTTTCTGGGGGGAGATGGACGTATTGTGAAATAAGACAGTGGTGATGGTTGTACGACAATGTAATTATTCTAAAAACCACTACATTGTATACTTAAACTGGTGAATTTTATCTCAATTTAAAAAAAAAATCTACCTTTAAAAAATAGTGAGAAACAGTACAAAATAGAATGAAACACTTATGATTTGGAATCCCTCAAACATGGTTTCAAATCTGGGTTCCACCCAGCTGAGCTACGCCATGGGGCAAGCGTTTTAACTGCTCTGACTCAGCTTCCTCATCCAGTAAAATGCCAGGCTCCTGACGTGGCTGTGAGGATCAGGCGCAGTCATATGTGTTTGGAGCTTTGCATACTGCCTGATCCGTTGTGGGTGTTCAATTAATAATTATTAAATTGAGGAGACTTGAATTTAAAAATTTTCCTTCCCCTATAAATTCTTGCATGAAATTGAAATGACAATTGAAATGATCAAGAGACAGCTAGTTGAAGGTGAAAGGTTGGTAATTTGCTTACAAGATATGTCTCCTCTTCACTTGGCAGCTAAATAAATTGTGAAAAGCTCGCCAAGTTGTACCTTCACCGCGACATTTTAGTGACGCGTCTTGTCTCTTCATTTCCTAAGCACTTTGGGGAACAAGTGGGATACACAGTAAGAACATCCTGCTTTTTCCCCCGACTCCTCACTCCTCTGTCACCCTTTTGTCATTTAGAAGTAATGTTACTGACCCTGTTTTGATTTGTTCGAGGGAAGAAAAAAGCTAAAACTTTCCTCTCAGTGTCTAATTTGCTAAAGCCAGTTTTCCTTTTCTATTTCCAATGCCTTTTTAAAACTATAATTTGAGAAAACCTTTCTCTGCATTTAGAACATGCATCTAGAACTTTCTAGCTACTTTTTTGCCTTGTATATGTCTGTTTTGGTCACGTTTTCTCATTACAAAATGCTAATGAGACTTCTCTAGCTTTACCCTAGAAGCTTTCCAAACATCAGCACCCCAGTTTTTTTCCTAGACATTTGTTATTTCAAACGAATTGGCCACTGTTTGTTAACAGAATTCTAACTGCCCAGAAAAATCAGTAACCAGATACTCTGTGATCTGTTGAGGAAACCCAGTAGTATGGGGTAATCCTTCCTTCTTTTCCATTTTTTATAGGTCAGGCCTAAGTGAAAGGCCTGGAGGTTACAAAGTTCTGTCTGTTGAATAAAGGAAAATGGGCCTCTCTCTTCATTTCATTATTTCCCCTCAGGATTTCAACGATGAATTCTCAGATCTGGATGGAGTGGTACGGCAGAGAAGGCAAGACATGGAAGGATACAGCAGTTCTGGATCCCAGACTCCTGAATCTGAGAACTCTCGAGGTCTGGGAGATTTCTGTATCTTTACTGAAATTAAATTCTCCACAAAACATCCTTAGCTCAACCAAAAACCAAAACCAAAACCAACCAAAAGCCAACACACCTTCTGAGCTAACAATTAGGAAGGGACTCTAAACAAAGGGTAGTTTGAAAGTTCAAGGAAAAGGAATTGCCTATGTGGTAATACGCATTTAACAAATGTCTCTTTGGGAGTTGCCTGGCGGTCCACTGGTTAGGACTCCACGCTCTCACTGCCGAGGGCCCAGGTTCAGTCCCTGGTCGGTGAACTAAAATCCCACAAGCCACATGGTGTGACAAAAAAGAAAAAAAAAAAAAGTCTCTTAAATAGACATAATATTGGAGTGGTTGAAAGACAGGAACATGCAATATTTTCTTACCTCTTCTTTAGTAATATTATTAATTATTATAGCTGAATTGTCCCCATGAGTCAGTGGGATAAGGACAGACTGCCCTTATATCATTTTATTTTTTATTTGCTTGAACATTGGATTTCATCCCCAAACCACTCAACCAGCTTGTAAGGAGATCCATTTATATTCTTTGGCCATTATGCATATTAAGGGATTGATTTACTTTGTGGTTGATCCTATGTGTTTAAACGCACTGGGGAGAAAGCTTACCCATCCCCGTTTCATCTTGGTAGATTTCCATGTGACAGAATCCCAGACAGTTCTGAATGTCTCCAAGGGAGAAGCAAAACCAACTCGGGCAGATGCCCTTGTGAACAGAGTGCCTGAAGGAAAAGCCAAGAGTCTCCCTGGGCATGGTAAGGAATGGATTATTTGGGGGGGCGGGGGTGGGCAACTGCCTGTAATTTTTAAAGGGCCCTCATGTTTCACTTTATGACTGCCTTTGCTATTCCCTCCCCCTCCCTTCCTGCTGTAGGTCTTGGCATGTTAATTCATTTATTCACTCAACAAACTGTACCCAGTTCCATGCTTTACTGTGGGGCATACAAAGGTGAACAGCCTTCGTGGAATACCTTTCATTATTCTGAATACTTTGAGGTTGTGATTCAAAAATTACCAGTAAAACTCATGTTATTTTATTATTATTTACTGATTATTATAATAACTGCTTACCAGTTGTACTGGTAGGAGATCAAGGATGGGGTCTGTATTGTTCACCAGTCACTCCATCGCAATGCTTGGCACAGAGAAGGCTCTCAATAGATATGTACTGAATGCAACATGTGGGAAGGAATTGTAACTACTGGTTAAAATGAGAAGCGAAGGCTTTGGTTAATATTTCCTCTGATTTTTATTACCTGGAAATAATTATGTCTCTCAAGTACCTCTTCCCTATAGGGATACTGCTGCGCGAAGGAGATGTGTTATCATTTTTAAACAGAAGCTTTTTGTTTTCCACCCAACAGGTCAGTCAGAAACCATTGGAATCATACCCAGAGTGAAGTCTCAGAAATGTCCGACTCTCCACCATATTCTTATACTCTATGCAATTGTGTAAGTAAGTGTATTTATTATGAATGACTCAGTGATTCATTTCACTACAGGAATAATGTCATCACGTTACCAAGAGCCACTGTGAATCTCAGTTGCCTCTAATATGACCCAAATCTTTTAGGGGGAAATTTTTGTCTCCTACTTCAACACCTTTCTTCTTAAACGTAGGTCACCTTTTCATATTCATCCCCTTCTTATTTAAATAAATAGTGAGAAGGAAGGAAGGAAAAGTAAAATATGCCAAATCCAACAGAAGACTAAGTTCTAAGTAGATAACTCTTAGTTAGGAAATTGTTTCCTGAATTATGAAGCATCTTTGTTCATGTTTATTTTTCCATCTATCCCGTGTCCTCTGGATAGAGACCAAAACAACCTGAAAATATCATCCCCTTTATTGAAAACTTAGGCATTGACTTTTTTAAGTTCCCTCTCAGCTTCTAGCCTGTAACTAGCCTGTAGCTTCTAGCTAGTTGTTCTTCTGAAAATAACCTGACCCAGTTCTAGGCTGTTCTTCAGAACCAAGGAGGATCTGCAGTTTGGTTTCCAGAGAAAGCAGAGAATGTGAGTCACAAGACCGGACACTCGCTGGCCAGGGCCTTCGACAGTACCTGGTGGGAGGAATGAGGACCAGCTCGGCAATCTACGTTGGCTGGCCTTGAGCGAGACTACTGAAATGCCATTATTTGTAAATTGAGGAAATAGAGAATTTTCAATATCCTTCTAGTTCTAAAGTTTAGTGCAAGCATCAGTCTGTTGAAAAAAAGACTTCTGAAGTCTCTGTAGCCAAGTTATTTTGGAAAATACCTTGCCTCAAATGTACAGTGTTGCCTCCGAGGTTACTGTTTTATGAACATCAATCAGGTCCTGGCCACTAACCTATTGGGAATTTCTCTTTTATCCCTTTCCAGTGTCTGTGCACTAATCATCTCGACCTTCTACATGAGATACAGAATTAATTCTCTGGAGGAGCAGCTGGGGTCACTAACCTCCATTGTGGACACCCATCAGACTGAGTAAGACACTTCCCTCCAGTGCTGTCTTCTGCTTGCTGTTCACATTAGTATAATGTTTGACCTGAGCTTGGCATCCTTCTTAGCAAGCATTAATTGAGGATACATTCTGTATGAGACATTTTGTTAAGTGTATATATGGAGAGTAATGAGTAGGAGGGTCCTAGAAATAAATGACCTGACTCTTCATGTTCTTGAGTTGCTATAGTGTCGCCAGTGATAAGGCAAGAAATGAGCCTAATTTTACATTATCTTGTTCTCTTATTCTAAGGCTCAGTTGTGACCTTGGCCCATTTATTAAAATAGTCAAGTTTATCTTCGTACAATGGCAATGAGTCAAGACATTCATAGAAAAGAAGCAATTCAAGTAACTCAGCACATTTCATCGTATATAACTCTTTGTATGAACTCACTTATTTACAAAACTCTTGACCACTATAAAGATCCATGTGACTAGTAATTAGTTGAATGTGTCTGTGAAGATTTTCTACCACGTATTTTCTACCATGTATTTTTACATACCTAACCTAATTAAATCTATTGCCATAGTGGTCTTTCCTTTAAACCCATTTACATGAGGATTTTGACACATTCTCTAAAAAGTAAAATAAAGTATTCCATGTTTAGAGCATACTTTTACCTGAAGTTTTAAAAGTAGAGATATTTCTTTACAGAGTAAGTACTGTGTGCTAGAGATCTATTACAGTAGATCTTTCACACAGATACAGTTTCCTCTCATAACTTCACCATAACCTTATAAGATAGCTATTATTCCCATTTTACAGATGAAGAAACTGAGACTCAGAGAAATAATTTTAACAGAATCAGGTTTCAGGTCTATATGACTACAAAAACCTAGTCACCAGGGGTTGCTTATAAGGAACAGCGGAGAAGTGAGTCAGGATATTTTCAGTGTGTATCAGAATCATCTGGATGGCTTCTTAAAACAGATTGCAGGGCCCGTCCTCCAAATTTCTGGTGCTGGCCTGGGGTCTACACTTTGAGAACTCTTATACTATACAATTCTAGGGCCTTTCTTTACAGTCTTAACAGTCACCTAAAAGTCTTGTTCTATGGCTTATGCAATGCTGGTACAGGGATTATTTCTGAACCATAAATATACATTTGAACCAGTAATAAGTCTAATGAATGGTTTGGGATAAATTCATACCCTGCCCTTACTCTCTCACGTGTTGTTCAAAATGTTAATAATACACTTAAAGCTAGGAGGTAGCTCTACATTATTGCAAACTATTAGTTCACTACCATATAAGGGGTTGATTTTATTAGGAATATGTACCTCATGTCCTGTTATCATTTAATTAACGATGATGATGAGCAGGAAATTCCACTAATGGAAGGCAAATGGAATACTTATTGTACTATTTAAATAATCAATCCAGGAGGAGATACAATTTGAAAAACAACCATTTAAAGGGAAAATCACAAAGATCACATATTATATGAGGTCAGGAAATACCCAAGACGGGAAGGTCTCGATTGTCAGAATTTCGTGTGGATAAATCAGTACTCTGGGTCTCAGATACCTCGTTTAGAAATCAGAAGATTTAGATTCAGTTTCCTTTTTGGGATCTAAGATTTCGATACTATGGATCAAGGACAAAGAAAAAACTTTCAGAACTACTCAATGAAAAACATCTGATTGCTTTCTTAATATTTAGATAATCATCGATAAGTTACCAAGTACCTATGTCTCAAAAATGGATCCTATGTAAAATAAATTAGACCAGTCAATGCCATCTAAAAACTTCACATCTAAAATTAAATTACAACCAAGAAATAGAAAGGAGATACAGACCATGGTTCTTAACCTTAACATGAAAATCTAATCAATGGTTTTAGAGCAGCTCTCTGGGAAAATGTACACACATCTCTAAATTTCGTACAGTTTTAGCTGGTATAGGACCCCAGTGGACCTCAGAGTAAGAGCCCATGCCTTTAACAGTCAAGTGGTAAATAGTGAATACATCGGTTATATTACTAGACAAGGGCAACTATGTTTGTACGGCAGGTCTCAAAGAAGGAACTGCAAAAGTCACACATCAACAGAAATTTGATTAAAGACATTCCTAAACATTATGAAAGTTCTAGTGTAAATGGTTGCTTCTCCTATAAACAGTACATACATGACTGAGAAGAGCAGTAAGCCTTGCAAATGCGTGCAGTTGTGGGCAGAGAGAGGGTATCGGGAGTTAGTAAAAGTAGTCTAAGAAACTGCGTGCTTGAGAATAATTGTCTGATTTGTGTTTGGAAGCTGAGGCGCAATGTAGCCACTTAAACAAAAATAGCTTAAGAGACTTCCAGCTAAGCTTTGAAGACTTAGTCCCCTAAACATCTAGTCTGAAGTTGAGGATTACTGCAGGGCCTTTCGGATATGAACAAGGTAAATGCACACTGTCTTCTATTATAACCTAGTTTTCTGGCCAGATAAATTTAAAATGTGTTCATTCCACTTCTTTCTTTGCCATCCCTGCCCACAGTAATTCTTCTCTGTGTTCTTACAGACAGACAGCACCATCCAGCCCGGAGTCACACGTACAGTTAAATGTGGAGGTCCTGTGCCGAGAGCTTACTGCCAACATAATGAGACTAGAAAAGGTGACAGGTCTCTTTCCCGGGTTGGGGGCGTCGCAGTAGTGCCTGCCCACTGCCACAGGGCAGGGGTTACACACGCATGGCTGTGCAACAGGCCACCTAAATGACCATACACAGCCAGGGGATTTTCCACTGAGAAATAGGTTCCAACCTCATCTTCCTTGTTGGTTGACCTTGTGGTTTTCCCACTTGGTTAGAAATCATTCTCTGTGCCATAGGGCCCAATGGTAAGTGTCGGCTGACACAGGGCTCGGGGAGGGGCACGGTCAGGAGTGCCCCCAACCAGAGAGGGCAGCCCCCAGCTCCACCCAGGCTGGTTGTCACCATACAGAAAATATTTGCATTCAGTCTCTCTATGATAAATGCCATTGTTCCCATCTGACAAAAGAAGCCAAGTTTCAAGTGAACTTGCTCCAGGAGACACACCCAGAAAGCTGGCAGGACTGGAATTTGAACCGGGTCTGACTCCAAAGTTGTGCTTCGAAGCCCTCTGCTTTTACTGCTCCTCAGAATCCAACCTTAGGCCTGGGGTATAAGGCCACTGAGTAGGGAGGTGAACAGGAGAAGGTAGGCACCCAGAAATATCCCCCGAGTTAAACCTAGTTAACATTTCTCCTTTCAGCATGTCTGTCCCTGTCTCATGCTTTATTTTGACCCTTATCCTTAAAGTAAAGGTTTAGAGTGAGTTGTTCAATTTGAATTGCTGCCACAAATGCCAAGTATTTGGTGGCTTTCCACAACAGTGCAGTTATGCTCACTTGGGAAGAAACATGAAATACAAATGAGTCAAATTATGCTTGTCTTGCAATACTAAATGGTATCTAGCATTTAACCACTGAAGTATGGAGAGCAAAGGAGTCTGCATACTTCTGTTCTAAACCAAGGCATGAGAGATAATTCCCACTGAATCACTGTATCGGTGGGCAAGCTTGGAAATTTTAGCTTTTAAATCCACAATCAAGCTAGAGAAGGTATGGGATAGCAACGAGAACTGTTTTCCCTTCTAAAATGTCAGTTGCTAAGAATTGAAGATAAAATTTTTTTTGATGAAATGCTTAGAAGTGTTTGGCTTCCACGCTGACCTAGAGAATGGGGTGGTAATTTTCTCTCTCGTTCACTCTGGCACACAGTGGTGTTCTTTGGACTGGAAGCACACGGAACCCCGCTGCCCTCCCATACATTTCTTCCCACTCCCCTGCCGGGCCCGGCTGGGACACCACTTTCTGTAATGAGGGACAGGAAAACAGGAGAGCTCATCCACAACAGGCAGACAGCTGGCCATGTCTTGTGCAGAGCCCAGCTACTTGGCTAGGAGGCCTACAGTACCAACAGAAACCTGTGTCCCAAAGCAGAAGAAGGGAAGAGGGGATTTAGGGTCAAAAGGCATGTGCTGAAGTTGTAAAAAGTCATAAGTTGCACACATTGCTCATAGGAATCTTAGTATAAAAATAGCCACCAGGGGCGCAGTGGTTGAGAGTTCGCCTGCCGATGCAGGGGACACGGGTTCGTGCCCCGGTCCGGGAAGATCCCACATGCTGCAGAGTGGCTAGGCCCGTGAGCCATGGCCGCTGAGCCTCCCCATCCGGAGCCTGTGCTCCACAACGGTAGAGGCCACAGCAGTGAGAGGCCCGCGTACAGAAAAAAAAAAAAAAAAAAAAAAAGAAG